AACATATCTCAACACAGTAAAGGCCGTATGTGATAAACCGACAGTCAACATACACTAATAGAGAAAGATAATGCCTTTCTTCTAACATCTGGAATGGGATGATGGCATCCACTCTTTGTACTCTTATTCAATGTAGTGCTTGAAGTCTTAGGTAGAACAATGAAAGAAATAAAAGTTATGCAAACAGCAAAGGGAGAAGAAAGTCACCCTTATGTCCATACAACATGATCCTATACTAGAAAGACTAGCCTGAAGACGCCACTAGAAGCAAAATGAGGAAAGACACTTCCAGCAAAGTGGCAAGAAACAAAACCAACATCCAAAAGTCAATAGGTTTTCTGCATGTCAATCAGGAACTTTGCTGAGAAAGAAATGAGTAGGGAAAATCACAGAAAAATTCACAGTAGCTTTTAAAAATGTCTGAATAATCACAACCAAGGAAGTAAAAGATCCCTGAAAGGAAATGTTTAAGACACTGAAGAAAAAAAAGTGAAGAGGATCCTAGAAGATAGAAAGATTTCCTTTACTGCTTGGAAGAATTAATATTGTGAAAATGACTATGTTACTGAAGGCCAGCTACAAATTTAACACAATTCCAGTAAAATTTCAATAAAATTCATCACAAAATTAGGAAAAAATTCCAAAAATCATTCAGAACTACAAAAGACTCTGAATCCTTAACAGAAAGATCAATGCTGGAAGTAATTTTCTCCTGATCTCACTTTATATCATAGAGTCTTAGTAACAGAAGCAAACCAAAACTAGATATGTAGACCAATGGAGTAGAGGTGAGGACTAAAATATACCCAACCCAGCCATAGCAACCTTATTTTTGACAAAGCTATCATAGAAACATAAATTAGAGAAAAGATAGCTTCTTTAACTAATATGGGTGCTGGCACACTAAATTTCCACATGTGGAAGTATGAAATCATATCCATATTTCTCATCCTGTACAATAATAAACTCAAAGTCCACCAAATATTAGAGCTGAAACTCTGAAACAGCTAGAAGAAAACATAAATGAAATATTTCAAGATACAGGCTTAGTAAGAACTTCCTATAAACATTGAGTGCCATAGTGGATCATTCCAAGTGTAAGTACCTGAAATTGAATGATACTAACCAGCAAAAGAAATAAACACAGTGTGGAAAAACAGCTTATCTGTCAACAATGCATCAGAAAGACGATTAATGTATAAAAAGCTCTGAAAAATTAACACTAAAAACATTTAAAATCACTCAATTATAAAATTGAAGACCTTAGTATCTGGTTCTTAATAGAATTACTACAAATGGCCAAAAAGTATATAAAAACATGTTCAACATCCTTCTATCAAGGAAATGTGTTATAAAACTGCTCCGAGAGATTCCACCTCAGCCTAGTCAGACCAACTTTTATTAAGAAAGCAAATAAAAATAAATACTGGTAAGGATATGGAGAAAGAGGCCTTTTTTCACTACTGATAAGAACATTGATTTGTGAAGCCTCTATGTGAATAATTATGGAAGTTTCTCAGAGAACTAAATATCAAACTACCATATGAACCAACTATACCACTTTAGGTATATGCCAGAATGACTCTGAGTCAACATTGCACGGAGATACTTGCATATCTATGTTTATATTAATAGCTACACTAGTCACCATAACTGGGAAATGGATCTCACCTAAATTTCTGAAAACAATTTAATAGATAAAAATGAACTTGGCATGCACAATGGAATTTCATACAACTGAAAAGAAGAATGAAATGGTGTCATTTGCAGGAAAATAGATGTTAGGCAAATAAGCCAGACTTAGAAAGACAAATACCTCATATATTCTCTGATATATAGGACCTAGAGTTATATATATATATACACACACACACACACACACACACACACGTGTGTGTGTGTGTGTGTGTGTGTGTGTGTGTGTGTGTATGCTTATGTACATATATATGCATTTGATGACACTAAAAAAGATTATGAGAGAGGAAAAATAAATATTAAGGGATAAGGTAATACGGTAATAGAATACATTTGGAAGGAAGACAGAAAGAGACAGTAACTGGGGAAAAGAAGGGAGCCAAGGAGAGTGGGGAGGTACCAGGGGAGGCCAGTGGGGGAGGATATCACGATGAGAAGAAAGTACACTGACAGACATAAGTAAAGACACCATGATGAAACTCATTACTTTGTATGCTAACCTACAAATTTAAAAATATTTCAATAAGATCTCAGTGGGACACCAGGAGTCATGGAGGTGCAGAGGCCTTTTCCAGACTTTTGTATTCATCCTTGAATCTTAAATGATTGAACATATAACACACTTCTGGAAGTGGATCTCTTTCCTGAACTTTGATGGTTTTTATTACTTAGAGAAAATAGTTGTCACATTACATTGGTCCAACCCTTTCAGGGATTGCCATGCTTCATGTGGATTTTTAATTAGCTCATAATGAAAAAATACCATGCCTTGTCTTACATAGTCAGACACTACTTGAGAGTTGGTGCAAAGAAATCACTATCATGCTATTCATAATTCCAAGCTAGTAACATATGACTATGGAAAAATACCCCATATGTTAACAAGACAAAAATACACTCATTCTTAGAGAATGGGTCAAAAGAAGTCCAGTATGAATTAATATTTTTAAATGTCTTGTGTTTTGTAAATTACTATCAGGAAACATAATCTTGAGTTCCATAATCCTTCAAATCAAGGGTAGGTCCTCCTAGTATTTCCCTATCAAAAGGACCATATTTTTTTAAAGCTACATCTCAAATATTCTCCTCCTATCACCTAAACAATCTGCGCAACTTGGCCCTGTCTACATTCAATCCATGTGAAGTAAGCAAGATAAAGGAAGGATTTGACCAAGGAAAGGCTGTGACTAATGAAAGCATTTATGATGGGTCTTCAGCCATGAGTGAAATTCAAGAGGCCATGTGGTAAAGGGAAACTGTGTGAGCACTACAATCAGTCCAGTTTAGGAGAGGACAACAGAGTAACTCCTGAGACATTAGCAGAAACAAAGACCAAGGACTAGTAGAACTGTGTGCTAGTGACCTAGTAATGAAACGTGCTAGTGATGATTGTGGGAAAAGGTTGATTCCAGACTCCTGTGTCCTTTTTAAGCTTTGCTTCCTGTCCTAAATATCGTAAGAGGGACACTTCCCCCTCAATTAGAAATGCTGCACTTAAAGCTGAGGAGCTGGCTCTGTTGGTAAACTGCTTGCTGCACATACATACCTGAGTTTGATCCAGAATCCATGTGAACTAGCAAGGCACAGTGGCTCAAGCTTGCAATTCCAGAACTAGATAGGGCACAGGTGCTTCCCTGGGACTCACTGGCCAGCCATCATCCTTTCCTATGTGATGAGCTCCAGATCAGTGACAGACTCTGTCACACACACACACACACACACACACACACACACACAAATGGTGAACAATGCTTAAGGAATGACACTTGTGGTCGTTCTCTGGCCTATACACACACACGCACACACACACACACACACACACACACACACACACACACACACACACACCACAGAGAAAGGGGAGGGCAATTTTACAACTTCGTTTGGAATCACTTGGTCAGAAATAAAAGGGACAGATATTACATAATTGGTTAATTCACAAAAAAAACAAAAGCAAAAAATTACTATAGTGCATGACTAATGTTGAAATTCTTGATCAAAGTTTTTTTTTCTGTCACTCTTCCATGCTAATGGGCTCAGTGTTAGGAACTTGCCTATGATGATTATTAAGCTAAGTGGGAGTGTATCTAATCCCTTGGAATATAAATCTTTGGGGCTACTATGATGGGAATCAGGAAGGAGAAGAAATTCAAGAGCTCTTTGAAGGCCGTGGCTTTTACCATCTGCTTGTTGATTCATTGTCCCATTTCTTCCTCATCTGTTTATTTGCATAACAGCACCAGCTGCCCCCTCAAATTTGAATTGCCTGACTTAATCAGACAGACCCCTGATTGAGAACTGAGTTACAAATTGGCAGATGAATACCAAATTGTTTTTAATAAGACACAGAGTTCTGGGTGCTTTGTGCCATGCTGTAGCTGTTTGTTGGCAGCTACAATAACCAACAGTGTCCCTTTCATCTTTAAGAGAAAGGCAAGGCATTCAAAAGAAGCTTTGAATTTTGTACTAAGAAATTCCACTCATCTGCCTAATGTTCTATTTTTAATTAGAAGGATACACATATGACTTAATTAATCAAGCCTGTCTTAAGGCATTATGCATTTATTAATGGCTCCTGCACTCAAGCACAGTATTAAGGGATTTGTGCTAAGCACCTGACATAAAGCAGGCTAATTTTGCTTGCTTTGCTTAATGTATTGAGAACAGCATGTTGATCAGATTTGGAAATATTCAAGCTATGAACTAATGTCCTATTTAGAGGGTTTAAAATCTCAGTGCCATGGCAATCCAGCCTTATAATGCTTTCTTTACAAAGCACTCTACAACTGAATGGAAGAACTTGATGGGAATTGGGGGGTGCAGTGAGAAGAAGAAGGGGTGCAGTGAGAAGAAAGAACAGAGGAGTAAAGTCCCTGAGGGCAGGGCAGGGCAGAACTACTTCCTGTAGTTTTTGATATCAGTATCTGGATTAGTCTTGCAAGAAACCATGCTGAACAAAGGGATACTGAAATGACTGGGCTCTGTGTGACTCTATCCATCCATACAGTCATGTCACAGGATTGTGTGTATGAGCTAATCAGTTCATATTCACCCAACTAATCCAAGCGAGTTCTGAGCTCCTTAGATTACTGATTATTTTGTAGCTTGTGTTCGTGACAGTAATTAAAAATATCTTATGTGGAATGGTCAATGCCATTATTAAAAAGACATTACATGATGCATCAGGAACTCCACATAGACCACAAAAAAATTGTAATGGGTCAAAGTCCTCATTATTTGGTTTTAATGATAAAAAGAGAAAAACATGAGAAACTAATAACAGAATACTTTCTCTGTTTCTTCAGTGGGAAAAAAGAAACTATTTTGACCAAATGGAGAACAAGTTTTCATGAACTGGTAGGTAAGCACCATCATGGCAGTAGCATCCCATGAGCTGCCAATGTTAAAGTTTTCCCATACACCAGTGTCCTAGGAATGAAAAGAACATGGAAGACCTGAGTGCTGTGGTATATGAAAGATCACTTAGAGTCCAAGTATGGTAATGTGAGCTATAAGCCTTGGGGACCAGGAGGATTACAAGTTTGCATCCAGCCTGGACTATAGATAGAGACATTGGCAAGAGGGGAGGGGAGGGCAGGGGAGGGGAGGACAGGAGAGAGAGGAGAGGAGAGGAGAGCCAAAGGCTAGCCGGGACTTAAATTCTGACATTCCCACTTGGCAGTTTCGCAACCATGATCTCTCAGAACCTTGGTGATAAAATGGCAATAGCAACATCTACTCTACAGTCTATGGTGACTGAATGGGGAAAGGCATTCAATATGTATTCAAACTATTCAGCCATCAAAAGTGATAGGAGAAATATAGCTAGGTGAGGTTTCACTGTATTGAAACTTAACTATTGTGCAGGCTGGTAGAAACCTCAGCTCACAACTTACCCAGCTTGCCTCTGGCAATTGAGACTGCTATATGAGTTTTCAATCCTACAAATCTGGTCTCATCTTAATTTTTCTTATCCTTTTTGATCTTGCACTCTAATTTTCTTATTTGTTAAAAATCTAAATATAGTATTTCCTTTCTCTGGAATACTCTCCTTTTTCCTGCTGCAGGTTAACTTCTATTTGTTTGTAGCTGGCCCAGACTTTTCATAATAAACCCGAGAAAGACTGATATTATCAGACCACTTCTAACCCAGTCCAATGGTTCAACTACTTGCATGAGTAAACATACTTTTCTAGCTAACCTATCATGCCTTCTTGTTTCTGGAAGTTAGGTAGTCATAAACAGATTTGCCTTAATAAGCATGCCTCCCACAAATTCCAATAGTCTTATCTAAGTGCTTATGCTTTTACAGATGATGTCAACTCTTTAAACATCTGGAAACCTGTGCATCTCTGAACAAGTAAAGCATGGACCATTCTCAGAAGTCTCCTCTAAGATCAGGTATGATTTATTGCAGGAGACTGAGCTTGGCTTGTTTCAGGAAAGGAATGGTCCCATTGCTAGACAGGAAAAGAATAATATACTAATCAAAGTACTGGAGAGGCTGAGATGGAAGATTGTGGATTTGAGACCAGCCTGGTCTACAATGCAAGTTCAAGACCTGCAATTCATAGAAATACTTTGTCTCAAAGGTGGGAAAATGGAAAAACAGGAAAGAAAGGAAGAAAAAGAGAAGACTGCTGAACTTAGGCAGGTTTTGAGCCCCATTATAAACTGTAAGAAAATATTTTTTCAAAGCATAAGTATGTTGATAGATTCTTTTCTGTATTCTTGATGCATTGCCATTACTGTCTAGGTCTTTGAGAGACTGCCTTCCTAATGTCTTTCATATGCAAATCTACCAATTCAGAACTCATGCCCCAGCCATCTTCTTTATTAAAATTCTCTCACACGAGCTTATATCCTTAAAACGTGTCACTCCAGGCCAGCCCTTAGGGAGCACCTTGACAGCCCCAATACACTGAGGTCATTCTTACACTTGGAAACTTCCTTCTTTTCTGTCCACCTCTCCCCTTCTCCAGAAACCAGAGCAAAATCTAGCTCTCTGGCATGCTCCATTTCCCTGTGTCTGCTGATCTTGGTGCCTGTGTTTATTGTAAATGGCTGTCACCCTGGTTTCTTGGGATCTTCTTCCTTCATGATAATCATGTCTAATTGTATGTCTTATCCTATTCTGAGTATATATGAATACAAATAGGCAAATAAGCATGTCAGAATTATTAATTTTTAAGTACCACAATTGTCTTGAAATAAACTTGCACTGACTAGTTAGTGGTTAAAAAATTCAATCAGGAGAAATGGCTTTTAAAAGTGAGAGGGAGAATTTCTGACAAAGGTTTAACTAATCACCTGAGGATAATTTAAAATCTCAGAGTTGAGAAGTAGGAAAATTGTACTACATAGGGTTTTTAAGCATCCTTTCCTTTAAGCAACAGTTGAACAAAAATGTAAAATTATAAATAAAGACAAATCAGGTGACAAGTTTAAAATAGGCCAGGGCATGTCAGTTAAGATGCTAGGGACAGACAAAAAGGTTTCTTTGCTTGTTTTTTGTTTTGTTTTGGTTTATGGTTTTGTTTTGATTTTCATTTGATTTAGTTGGTTGATTTGGAGCAGAAATAAAAAATAAATCGGAGTGGGAAAGCAGCTGTTCGGAAGACCTCTATCATGCAATAAATAGTTTCAAAGAATTGTAATAAAACAAACTAAATGTAAAAATAAACTGCTGTTTTAAAAAAATAAAACTTCTAGCCTATGACCTAAAAAAAATAACAAAAAAGTCTTCTATTTTCTAAGAACCAAGAACTCATAAATCAGGACACCTGTAAATGCTATTTTAGAAGATCCAGCATTCCACATTAACTAAGAAATAATGGGTTAGGTCCTGAGAATATATCCAGTGATGCTCCAGAAATGCTATCATCCCTCTTTTGATCTCAGAAGGATTCATCTCTAGACATAAAACAAATGGCATTGATTTGGTGCCAACAGTTATCATTAAGACACTACTACAAAGGATCAATTCTCTTAGAGTCATAAATCAAGTTCAACAGTGAAAACTCATGCCAACCTTAAGTCTTCCCTGTGTCAGCACTTCTAAACACTACTTTGGGACCATAAGAACACACCTGTCTTCTCTGTGGTTTCCTCTGCTGTTACAGTGCAATTCCTGTGCAATAGAACTACCACATGCAGTGTGTGAATGTGTGTGCATGTGTATATGTTTATATATGTGTATCTGTTTGCATATGTGTGCATGTATGAGCATATGAATGCATGAGTTTGTGTGTGTATGTGTATGTGTGTGGATGTTTGTGTGTGTGCCTGTGTGTGTACATGTCTGTGCATATGCATACATGTGTATGTGTATTTGTGTGTGCTTGTGTGGATATGTATGTGTACACATATGTGCCCAAATATCACAGAAACGTTTTCCTCATATAGATGATTGCTGACAGCATACACAGATAATACACTTATATATGGTATGGGAAATAGCTGGCAACATATCTACATTTGTTAGCACCAGAGGCAGAAGACTCTGTGGACACTGGCAAAATACGGAGCAGAAAGCAGAATTCAGATCAATTCTTCTAACTTCCACCAATAATTCCTAAACCCTCTTTCATGGCTGAGGACCTGGAAAGACTGAGGGCAATTGTAAGAAGCTTAAAAAAGAGAGGAGCACTGGGTAGAGAGATTCCTCAATGGATAAGGGCACTTACTGCTCTTCCAAAGGACCTGGGTTCAATTCCTCACATGGCAGATTTCAGCTCCTCTGCTCTCTTCTGGCCTCCCTAACCACCAGGCACACATATGATGTACAGACGTGTGTTCAGACAAGATACCCATGCACATAAAATTGAAATGTTTATTTAAAAGATAAAATAGAACATCAATTTTCATTATTTCAGTCTTATCACCATCAATACTGCAGAAACGTATAAAGAACCAATGGAATATCAAGAAAGATAGTGTTTAAACCACCATTCCCTCAAACACTCATGACATAAAACATTGTTCTTAGTTCTTAGCTCTTAGACCTGTGCCCTCCTCAGGAACGCATGGCTGCACTTCCTAAGCACTAGTCACTGGCAGCTCTAAGGGTCACAATAACCCCATCTAATTTTTTACATAACAATGTTTAGATAACTTAGTGTTTACTCATTACCCACCTTTAGGGCTATAATTTAATGGTGTTCAGTACATTCCAAGTGTGTGTAACAATCCTATGTGTCCAGAATTCTTCATCATCTGACACAATTTCCTTAGCCATGGAGTAGTAGCTTCCTTTCTCCCACCCTAACCTCAGAACTCCATTTTTACTTTTCTCTCTATTATTTTGTTTCATACAATGGACGTCACACAATATTTCTGCTTTTTGTTTTCAGCTTCTTTCATTTATCATGCTTTCAGGGTTGGTCCATTCTATAGCCTGAGCCAGGATGTTAATCTGTTTTCATAAGACCATAATATTCTGTGTTGTGACACCCTGGTTACATTTTGGTAATACTTAAGAAACTAAACAGAGGGTAACCAACCTGCTTTCTGAATGGATCTGAGGCCTGTTCCACAGGAGGGAATTCCTGTATGGTACTGTAAATCCAGACAAAAGCCTATGGCTGAGGAAGTCACAGCTCATAGTGAGGAAGCCAATGCTGTTGTTTTATTAAATGGATATGCCATCCCATAATATTGCTTGTTCTTCACCAACTGATGAATAATTTGGCAATTATCTATAATACTTGTCCCACATCCCCAGCTTCCAAATAAATACACAGAGACTTCTTACTTATGAATGTCAGGCCTTAGCTTCGGCTTGTTTATAGCCAGCTTTTCTAACTTAAACTGTCCTGTTTCTCTTTAACTACATTTTGCTTCTGGGCTTTTTACTTTTTTCTTTATTCCATATATCTTTCTTTCCTTCTTACTCCATGGCTGGCTGTGTGGCTGCGTAGCTGGCCTCTGGCATCCTCCTCTCATTCTCCTTTTCTCGCTCCTCCTCTTCTCTTCTTCTCAAGCCTAGATGCTCTTCCTATTTATTCTTTCTGCCTGCCAGCCCTGCCTGTCCTTTCTCCTGCCTAGCTATTGGCCATTCAGCTCTTTATTAGACCATCAAGTGTTTTAGGCAGTCAAAGTAACACAATTTTAGAGAGTTAAACAAATGCAACATAAAAGAATGCAACACAACTTTGCATCATTAAACAAATATTCCACAGCATAAACAAATGTAATACATCTTAAACTAGTGTTCCACAACAAATATTACCATCAATTTTATGTTACACATATTTCTTTGGGCCTTGTTTGTAATTACTAGAGTATATAAATAAGAGTGTAGTTGCCATGAACTTTCTTTTTTTTCCATCATGGCTTTTATTAATTATTTTTTAATTTATTTTTATTTAATTTATATTTATTTAAATTTATATATTTATTTAAAATTTATATGTTTATTTAAAATTTAATTTATTTTAATTTATTTTATTTATGAGTGCTCTATCTGCATGTACAACTTTATGCCAGAAGAAGGCATCAGATCCCAATATAGATGGTAGTGAGCCATCACGTGGTTGCTGGGAATTGAACTCAGGACCTCTGGAAGAGCAGCCAGTGCTCTTAACCTCTGAACCATCTCTCCAGCCCATTTTTCCAGAATTCTTAAAGGTTTTTTTTTTGGAGATAGACATGATTTGGGGATGAAGTGTACAAGGTAAGCACATCTTCCTCATACACAAAGAGCTCCTTATTTTAAAATTAAGAAATTTTTTATTCATTTTACCTACCAATCAAAGAAGGTAAGGCCTCCCATGGGTAGGTACATTTAGCAGAGGCAGGTCCAAGCCCCTCCCCTTGCCTCAAGGCTGTGCAAGGTGTCCTAGCATAGGTAGTGGGCTCCAAAAAGCTAGCTCATGCACCAGGGATGAATTCTGATCCTACTGTCAGGGGGCCCCTTGAGCAGATCAAGCTACACAACTGTCTAGATAAGCAGAGGGCCTAGTCCAGCCCCATACAGGCTCCACAGCTGTTGATCTAAATTTCATGAGTTCCCACTAGTTGTCCCTGTAGGTTTCCCCATCATGATCTTCATGCCCTTGCTCATAAAATCTCTCTTCTCTCTCTTCGACTGGACTCCTGGAGCTCGGCCGGTGTTTGGCTGTGTATTTACTAAAAGGCACACACGAGAGTGAATGAGTTAAGACCTCAAGAGGAAAAACAATGATGTCTATCATATTGATTAACAAAGAAATGAAACTCCAGATCTTTTTAAGTTACCATTCAGTAATTTCACAGGAAACTAGAGAATTGTAATGTGCTTTTTAAGGGCACTGATGGAGTATGTTCAAGGTAATGAGTCTTTTTACTGTTTGAAGATTTCTGTAATCAGATGTGCTGATTCATATAATTCCATTGTGAAGTGAGGTATAGCTGATGGGGAAAAACAGAAGGAACAGAAGTGGAAATAATGAAAGGACACAAAGTCATCGGGATTAAAACCAGAATCCTAGGGGAAGGACCTTGTTCTGTTAGCCTACATTCTCTGTGTTCAGTACAAACATGAACCATACTGCAGAGCTCTGGTTTTCATTCAACATGTTCAGACTGCTGAAATCTGCACTGCAAAGAGCACTAGCTTCCTGCTGACTCTACGGCAGAGGTGCTCAGCAGAACTCTGAGTGATGGTGGATAATTACATCTATGCTGTCCACACAAGACATGTGTTCAATTCGAATATTGAAGTGCTAGTTTTATTTAATCCCATTTTATTTTAAATAACTTAAACTTCAAGTTCAATAGCCAAGGTGGCTAATTGCCTGTGGAATGGAAAGCTCTGGAGCAGGTCCCTCTGTGCCCATTTGTTATCATTTGTCATGGCTCCTTCTGTCTACTAAGGCAAAGCAGAGTCATATAATCAGAGATTGCTGTATAAAGCACACTACTGACTGTCTTGCTCTTTACTGGGTTTCCTTTGAAGGCATTAGGAAACTGAAAGGATATTTTTATAGGACATGAATGGAGTAATGGTATCTAATTTGCAAAGTTATTATGGGTGTTTTCCATATATTTTATTAGAATCTTAATAATGAAGACTTGAGAGCTGAGGAGTTGGCTCAATAGATAAAGTTATTAATCTTTAACCCTGAGTATCTGAGTTTGAATCCCCAGCACCCATGTAAAAAGCCTGGTGAGATGACACATGCCTATAGTCCCTATAGGAGATTGAGACAGGAGGATCCCTGGGGCTCACTGGCCAGCTAGTCTAACCAGATAGTAAGATCTGTGTTCAGTGAAAAACCCTATTTCAAAAAGTAAAGTGGAAATCAAAAGAGGAAGCAACATGAACATTGACTTCTGTCCTTTAAATCCACACATGCTAACACACCAGAGCATACACATAAACAAGCATATACATCTACCAGGTGGACATACAAATTTTAAAATGACTTCACATAGCTAGTGTTTATTTTAGATGTGTGTGTGTGTGTGTGTGTGTGTGTGTGTGTGTGTGTGTGTGTGTGTGTTCAAATAGCTGGTGCTTATTTTAGGTGTGTGTGCATATTTATGTATCATAGACTTCTTGGCATGCTTTTTAAATATCCAAAGTCATTCTATGAATATTGTCTCCAGTCCCGTCAGCTTTATCATTTCTGAGTCTGCTTCTCTTGGCTGATTTTTGGTAGGGCTGTACTCTGTTTCTCTGCAAGCCTAGTAAGTCTTCACTGGATGTAAAGATGTTGATTTAGCATGTTGCACTGCACCAGCTTTTGCAGAACTCTTTTAAGGAAGACTTCACTGTGTTCTGACACATAAATTGGCATCTGTTTTATCCTTTGAAATGAATTTGAAAGCTTTGTAATCAGAGCTCCAGGGCAGCACTTAAATAGGGTAAGTCAGCTCCACCAGTAAGACTTCCATACTGGGTCCCCCATATTCATAGTCCAGAGACTGAGAGAGAAGCCATTGCCTGCTTTGCCTGAGTTCTAAGAACTGTTTGAGTCAGGAAATTTTCTAGTTCTTCTGGTTCTTCCTATAGCTTCTTCCTGAATCCTTGTGGCATTATGACCATCACACACCAGGGTCAAACTTTGGCAAAGATTAGAATGCTCATCTTTTCAAGTCTATGGAGCTCTCTCTCTCTCTCTCTCTCTCTCTCTCTCTCTCTCTCTCTCTCTCTCTCTCTCTCTCTCTCTCTGTAGCTCCTTCCTATGCAGTACTTTGGTCTGCAAATTTAGCATAATGGCTTTCTTAACTCTTTGATTTCTGTTTCCTTAATTCTGGAAGAATTGAGGACTGTCCTATCATGAACTGGGACTGGAGAAAGTTGCAGGCTGGAGGCTAAGCACAATCCTTAAGTGTCTTTTCCCTAGGGAGTCAATTACCTTAGCTGCCTATTGTCTGTGTCCAAAAATATTTGTACACAAAATTCTGGAATCTCCAGGGAGAGACGGTTTAGAAAGGTCATGCTTCTACCTAGTGATCCTATTTAAAATCTCATCAGCAACTTTTTAGAGAGTTGTGCATTTTTATTTTGCGTGTATGAATTTTTCCCTCCATGTATTTATGTATACCACATGTGTGCCTACTACACACAGAGGCTAGAAGAGAGCATCAAAAAAGGAGTTACAGACAGTTGTGAGCTGCCATGTGGGTTCTGGGATCTAAATCCCATCCTCTGCAAGAACTATAAGTGCTCTAAACTAGGGAGTCATCTCATCAACAAGTATCTATCTCCCAAGTGACTTACCTTAATCCTTTAATTTATCCTCATTTTCACAGTAGATGAGTTACGACTGGAGTCCTGTTCCTTAGTGAATCTACCTTCATACTTGACATCTGGCTCAGGAAGCAAGTGTAAAAAGTTCCGAAGGACAATAAAGTATGTCACAAAGTTGCCAATTTGTCAAAATTTTGTGGACTCTCCTCTTATGTCAGTTTATGTTATTAGGCATTGTAAGTACAATTCTGTAATACTGTTTTGAACTTTAGCATATCTTAATAAAATGTTTTAGCATAATTAACATATTCTTGAGACAGAAAATTTGCTATTGTGTTTAGTCACCCTCATCACTCTCCTTGGCAATTTGTGCTCTATCACAGAAACAAATTCTATTTTCCTGATTGATGTGCACTTAGTGGTTTCAAGCCTGTCCCCATGCAAGCCCAAGTGGATGGAATGTCTTTGTGAGGCATAGGAAAGGGTGGATGCATTGGAAATTAACACCCCAACCAAGATGCTGTAATCTTATCTTGGAGACCAGTGTGAGGACACAGTAATTACAGCCTTTGTGTTATTGTAACAGTGGAGGAGGTTGGAATCGGGAGTAGAGGCAGAGGAAACACTGGGCAGTGGGCATAAGAAGTTAAGAACTGTAGTAAGTGACAGAAATCCATTTCAGTCTGGTTTAATTCCCTTGAAACTGACATGAGATGACTGTTGACTCATTTGAGATGGTGTCTTATGTAGCCCAGGCTTACCTCAAATTTATTGTGTATCAAATCACACTGATGTTGAAAGCACAAGGCAGCTTGTGAACAATCTTACCACACCCAAACATGGAAACAAGTCCATAGTACCTAAAACAAAACATTGATAATACTTAATATTATATACCAAAGTTTAAATTATCAGTGAATCCATACACATAAAAATAACTCACTCAAGAAATAAGAACACACATAATAAAAAAAGATGAACATCTCCCATATGAGAATTTTGAATGCATGCCCACATTTCATCCAAAAGAATGGAAAATATAACCTCCCAGTGGTAAAGGATGAGTTGCATATGCTGAGTTAAAAATATATATATTTATTTGTATTGGTGTGTTTGTGTATTCCATTTGTGTGAGTACAGGAATGGGTCAAGACATTCATGTGGACATCAGAGGACAAATTTCAGGAATTGGTTCTCTACTTCTGCCATGGATTCTGAGGATTAAACAGAAATCCCAGACACACAAGGCTAGATTTTTACTGATTGAGCCACCTCACATCCTTTTAAAGGAGATAGACTTGAAGAGGATAATGAATAAAAAGAATAACTTTACAAAAATAAAAAATAGTGCAAATCTGGCAGGCTCCAGAGGACAAACACTGCTCCAGAATTCACCAACTAACTACTTGGTGTTTCTAGGCCTGGCAGGCTCTGGAGGACAAACACAGCTCCACCCCAGGCCATGGTGATATCTGAGCCTGGGCTGCGGTCAAGGGCCATGACTTGGTGCATGACCCTGATACAGCTCTGGGGATCTGTGTTGGTGTCCATGGCTCCTATTACCACTGAGGTCCCTGTGGATGCTGGAGTCTGGGTCACTACCTGTGACTATGTTGATGTCTAAGGGATGTGTCTCGATAGGGTCCATGTGGGTCCAAAATTCCTGCACCACCACCCAGGACCACGGTGACATCTGGCCCAGACCACTACACGGGGCCATATCTGGGTCTGTGGCCCTGCTGTAGCTGGGCTCTGAGTTGACTTTCATGGATCCTGTTGCCACCAAGAACAGTGCAGAGGCATGCCTTATGGGCAGACACCTGAGGCCATGTTGGTTTTAGAGGGTCAAGCTGACACTGGAGCCATACAGACCTGGGTGGCCCATACTGCTACCAAGGACCACTGGGTTGTCCAGTCCCAAACTGCAGCCTAAGGCCTCGTCCAGGTCTGAGGCCCTACCACAGCCAGGGTATGTGTTGGTGTTACCTCCGAACATGTTGGCATTTGGAGGCTACACTACCACTGGGCAATCTGCAACACCAACTAGGGCTGTGATGACATCTGGCCTGGACTGTTTTCAAGGACCATGTCTGGGTCCGTGGTCTTACTGCAGCCTGAGTCTGTGCTGATGTCCCTGGCCCATGTTGCCACCAAAGGACACAAGGAAGACCAAGGTCTGGGCCTCCACCTGTGGCTTTCTTGGTACCTGAGGGCTGTGCTGCTGCCACGCCCATACAGACCTGAGTGACATGCACTGCTACCCAGGGCTAGGATGTTGTATGGGCCTGAGCTGTGGCCAGGGCCATGTCTGAGTCCATGAGATAGGACCTGCACTAATGTCAGAGGCTGCTGTTGCCATCTAAGATCATGCAGATGCCCAGGATCTGGGACCAACTTGGGGCCATGTGGGGATTCGAGAGCCATGCTGACATTGAGTTCTTGCTGATCTAAGTGACCCACACTGCCAGTCTGGGCCATGTGTGACATTTGGGCCCAGGATGCTGCCAAGGACCATGTCCAAACACAGCAGGGGTAATAATGTCCAAGGCCTGTAGCACCACTAAGAGCCACATAGACATTAGGGGCCTGGGCCAGGTTAGTGTCTGAGGGTTGAGCCTCTGCTGAGGCCATGCAGATCTAAATAGCCTGTGCTGCCATCTAGGGCCATAATGTTATCTGGGCCTTGGCTGCTGTCAGAGGCCATGCCTGTGTTAGTGACCCTGCCATAGCCATTGTCTGTGTTGATGTCTGTGGCTCCTGTTACCACCAAAAGCAGCGAGGATAGGGCTGATTAGTGTTGGCCCTGACCCTCACTGGCTGCAGTACTAGGGAGAACTGGCCTTACCCCTCACCAACTGCAGCACTCAGGAGAGTAGGCCCTGCACCTGGGAGAGGGGGGGCAGCAAAGTAGAGCTGTTGACCTGGATGCAAATGATCCAGGGTCAGGAATGTGCTTGCAAGATCTGGGCCCACCCTTCATCTGCCGTGTGCCCTCCTTTGCCCCTTGCCACCTGTGCCGGGGTGGGTGGAAGAGCTAGCCCTGAGGTAATGAGAAAGGGAAAATTAGCACTGCCCCCTAATAGCGGCAGCACTCGGGAAAGCAGGCCCTGCACCTCACCTGGGCAGCACAATAGAGTTGACCCTCTTGGCAAGGGCACGAGTGAGCTGGCCCAGAGGGCATGAGAGTTGCAGGACTGACCCTGCTCCCCTCATCTGCCAAGCAGTGGGATGGGTAAGGAGAAAAAAGCCTACCCTCCTCTTGCCCCTAGCCATCTGCAGCAAGTGAGAATGCTGGCCCTGGGGCCACAAAAGTGGCAGAGCTGGCTCTGCCCCTTACCAGCTACAGAAAATGAGAGAGTGGGCATGGCACCTCACCTGGGGAGCACACTAGAGCTGACTCTGTTGGCAGGGTGCAGAGGAGCCAGGCCTGTGGGCATGAGAGCAGAAGAGCTGCTGCCCCCTCCCTCATATGCTATGGGGTGGCAAAGGTAAGGGAAATATGCCCCTCTGACACCTGCTACAGGCAAGAGAGCCAGCTTCAGGAGCATGAGAATGGAAGATCTGGTCCTGCCCCTCACCAACTGCAGTAAATGGGAGAGCGGGTCCGGCAACTCACCTGGGCAAAACAGAACTGGCCCTGGTGGTGTTAGTGCAGGTGAGCTGGACCCAAGGGTATGAGAGCAGGAGAACTGGCCCCTTTTCTTTGCTCTCTGCTACATTGGGGAAGCTAGCTGGGGCTGTGTGGGAGAGCTCACTTGAGTGGTGATGATGTGGGAAAGCTGGTGGGCTGACCAACCCAGCTACCCCCCAGGCCCAGAACCAGGATTGAGGTAGTCCACCCCAACATCCACCTCATCTGTAAACTGCTGGAGCATTTGAAGTGGCAAGACCTGCAGATCCAAAGCTACAGATCTCCATGATACAAGGCGACAACAGTATATCCAAGAGCAGTCCAAGGGAGGGCCCATTATCCATAGTGTTACAGAAGCCCAAGGCCTTGAACCAGACCAATGGCTCATTGCAATGAACACTTGCAAGTTAAGATGTATGGACTAAAATGTATACTGTGTTACTCACTGGGCCATAGTACAGCTTCCATGCTGAGATTTTTGTTTTTGTTTTTGTTTGTTGTTATTGTTTTGTTTTGGGGTGTTTTGCTTTTTGTTTGATTTGGGGTTTTTGTTTTACTTTTAAATTTTGTTTTGGGAGGAGGTTGCAAGGGCAGAGGATGGAAGTGAAAAGATGGGGAGGTGAGTAGGATTGGGATACATAATGTAAAATCCATAAAGAATCAATAAAAAGTTTTAAAAAAAATTCTATTTCATTTGCTCATTTTGCTTTTGGAAGTGTAATACACACATGCTTGTTAAGAGTTTAATTGTTCTATCACTCTAAACCCCTAAAAGAAAGAGAAAAAAGAAAAGAAAAAATAATGAAGATAGTCTGAGGCCTCAGTATCAGCCCCTTAGTAGGTGATTTTCTATGGAGAAAGGGTTCTTGTAGACATAACTGGTTAAAATAAGACCCCAGTCTGATGTGATGTCCCTATAAGGATAACTCCATGTGAAGAAAGAGACACTCAGTGGGGCACCCTGTGAACCTGGGAGAAGTGAGGAAAAGCACTCACTCAGTGGTTCCAGGAAGGATGTTAACCTAAGTATCTTAGTCCACTTTCTATTGCTAATAAAATACTGCCACAGAAGAGATACATCATAAAGAAAAAGTTTGTCTGGTTCACAGTTCTTATCCAAGGACAAAAGGCTACCACCACTGGTGATGACTTTCTTGGTGTAGAGTACTGAGGTGGTACAGAACATCACACAGAGAGGTGGGAACTGTACCTGACTCATAGCCAAACTGGCTTTTATTGAAGACCCAGTTCTCACACACACCATTATCCCATAACCCATTCAGCATATATAGGAATGAACCCATTCATGAGACCAGAGCTCAGATCAATTCATAACAGTCCCACTTGACACTAGTTTCTAACTTCCTAATATTGCATAATGAGGATTAAACTTCAGCCTGTTTTAGAGAAGGCAGACTACATTCAAACCATAGCAGTGGGGGAAGACAGGATCTGAAGGAGACAGTCAGATTCTTCACTTTTGTTTTAAGCTGGTGTCTCAAGTTCACTTAAGCAACTCAGTGAAGTGGGGCAGGTAGACACTTACCAGCATTTATGAGGAAAGAGCTGTTTGCTACAGGGCCCTTTTCTTGTGATGTCTCATTTAATCTTTATGCAACACTGTCAGACAGCTTTCATTATCCATTGAAGAGGCAAAGGGGATATCCAGGACTATTTATAACTACTCTAGGGCCACAGAGTTGCAAAGTAACTCAGCTGAAGTTCAAAATAAATTTTCTGTTTTTATAGTAAAGGTGTTAGTTCTACCTTTAAAATAAAAATACCAAAATGAATAAAATGAATAGGGGTTTTTTTGCCTCTTTCTGATGTCAAATACAATTGTAGATAAAGGTTTTTAATATTTACCATTTTTCTTTAATTTTGTCAGCATGTAAGTAATAGATTTCATTACAGTAATTCCATACAAACCTGTCATTATAACTTTTTCTATTTACACCACCATAACTCTTTTTCCCCCATCTTTTGGTGACTTTCCTCTCCCCCAATAGTCCTGCCTTCTGCTTTAATGTCCCATATATGTGACATTATACTGCTGCCCCTAGCTTATTATCTTCCCATCTCCTTTCATGGTACCCTTTCTAATTCCATGATACACATATGTACACATTCAAATCTAGATTTTGCATATGATAGAAAATATGTAATATTTTTTTCTGAGTCTGATTCACTTCACTTAAATATGATGATCTCTAATTCCATGCATTTTCCTGCAAATATCCTGATTTCAATTTTTTGTGGCTGAATAAAACTGCATTGTGTATATGTAGCAAATTTTATCTGATAATGGACATCTAGGCTTGATCTACTTCTTTTCTATTGTGAACAATAAACAAAGATGTACAAGCATCTCTTCAATATATTTATTTAAAATCTTACAGAA